AGTGACGCCACGTCACGGCGTAATTGAAAAGGCTCAAGGTGTTTAGTCACCTCCTCATCGCCTATGATGCGGATCGCGCGTCGCTGTAACCTATCCAAAGCATCGAGCAAGTACTTGGCGGAGCCATCCCAGAGGTGCGAGCAATATTCCACGCAGGACCGCACTTGCGTTTTGTACAACACGCACAGTTGATCGGGCGTGAAAAAACGCCGCACCTTGTTCAGGACTCCGAGTTTGCGTGAAGCTGTTTTAATCACGGTTTCGATGTAGTTCTTTGGATTCAGGTCTGAGCTAACTTCCATACCGAGCATGGAAATGTTGCTCTGCAGCGGTAGTGTTGTGCCCTGAAGAGATGGAAGGGGAAGGAATGACGATGTTTTTGCCGTGAAAGCGCAAGCCTGAGTTTTTTTGGCATTGAACTCAACCAAGTTCCTGGTACCCCATTCGGAAATGTGTTCCAAAGCCTGATTGAGTTCAATGACAAGATTCTCGCGTTTGTCCTTGGTTTCCGCCAGCCCAGCCGCTGCTTGTCCGAGATACCCCGCATGCACTGTACTATCGTCTGCATAGCAATGAATATTCCCAAGAGGAATTAAGTCATTGATATGCAGCAGAAAGAGAGTGGGGGATAGGACGGAGCCCTGGGGAACGCCGGCATTCACTGACATGAACTGCGAACTGCTACCATCCGTAAGGACACGAATTCTACGCTCATGCAGGAAGTCAGCTACCCAAGAACAGAACTGGGCTGGCAGACCGTATGCCGGAAGCTTGGAGAGAAGGCTTTTGTGCCAGACCCTGTCAAACGCCTTGGCAATGTCAAGGCTGATAGCCAACGACTCGCCACGCTTGTCGATAGCCTCACCCCAGATATGAGTTAAGTACACTAGAAGATCACCCGTCGATCGTTTCGGTCTAAAACCATATTGACGATCATTAATCAAGGAGTGATCCTCTAGGTAGCGGGTCAGATGGTTATTAAGGACCTTTTCTAAAACTTTACATAAAACTGAGGTGACTGCTATTGGCCGGTAGTTTGCCGGGTCTGAGCGATCCCCTTTTTTGGGCACCGGTTGCACATTGGCATCTCTCTAAGTCTCCGGCACACGCCCCAAAGAATACGAGCATTGGTACAAGCGCGTGAGCACGGGAGACAACTCCGCTGCACATTTTTTGAGTACTACTGCTGGGATGCCATCAGGTCCACTAGCTTTCCGGACGTCGAGTGATTGCAATTCGGCACGAACCTCGCGCTGTCTGATTTTAATATCAGGCATCGTTGTGCCACAGTGAGGTAATGATGGTGGCAGTGCATTGCAATCATCGATTCGGGAGTTAGCCGCAAAGAGTTTTGCCAGTAAATCGGCTTTCTCCTGCGGCTTATGGGCTAGTGTTCCGTCTGGGCATCTCAGAGGTGGCAGCGAGGGCTCGCAGAAGTTTTTTTGCACGGCCTTGGCCAGACGCCAGTAGCTACGGGAGCCCGTAGGATGCGTCATAAGTTCCTGGCCAACACGTGCAACGCGCTGGGCATCCGCTCTAATGTAAGCCTTCTTACAGGCCTTGGAAGCAAAATTGTAGGCTGCTTTGAGTAAATCGACCTCGGGATCCTTGAGAGCGCGCCCTCTGATCCAAGCACGATATGCCGCTTGCTTACGCGAAGCAGCTTCAGCACAGTCGTGATTGAACCAGAGGTTACGCGTGCCCTTACTGATGAGATCAGAATGAGGAATATAGTATTCCATACCCATTATAATCTCCTCAGTAATGGCAACGGCACTGGCTGATAGGTCCCTGTCACTGAAGCAGCGCTGCTTCCAAGGGACGGACGCAAAGTAGTCACGCATACCGTCCCAATCTGCCGACCCATAATGCCAGATACGGCGCTTGACCACTGCTGGACGCGGAGGCTTGGCCTGTGGTGCTTTGGCAGATATCAGGCAGTGGTCTGACGAGCCCAGGGGGGCTCTTACCACAACCTGATAGCCCCGTGGATGGGTCGTGAGCAGAAGGTCCAGTAAAGAAGGCGCTTGACTTGGAATATCTGGGATCCTGGTGGGCTGATCAACCAGTTGCTTCAAGTCATGCGTGAGAGCGAATGCGTGAGCAGAGATCCCTGCATGGTCAGTTTTGGAGGAACTTAACCACAAATTGTGGTGAGCATTAAAGTCCCCCAAAAACACCAATTCTGCATTGGGAAATTGTTCCTGCGCGTCATCTGCTGCCCGACTAAGGTGTTCAAAAAGTCGAGTTGTCTCAACATCGCCGGTGTGGGATCTGTAGAGACACACGTAAACTCTGGCCAGGGGGCCAGAGTCGACGTGTACCCCCAGCATGGAGAAGGAGGGATCTTCCAAGCAGCGGAGACGGCGACAACAAACATCCGCCCGAACATACAGGCATACACCGGCTTTCGCTTTGAAGGACTCTTCAAGCACGTAGCCGGGATAATTAAGGTAGCCTGTGTCAGCAGGCGGAAGTATTTGTGTCTCCGTCAGGAACAACAATGCTGGCCGTGCTGTCTCAAGATGGTGGTGGACAGCGTTGAGGTTAGAGTGGAGCCCGCGTATGTTGCAGAACTCGACCTCAAACAGCGTTGAAGGCGTGGGGGTGTGCACCGCTGAACGTCCAAACTTTGTTTTAGGAGCTGCCATTATGGAAATGAAAAAGAGACGTGAAACGAGTGGACGTTGTCGCGACAAGACCGGGCAAATTAGGGAGGCATGTTTCGCCGAATGATTGCCTGCAGAGGATATACGCCGACCCGCCGGACGGAAGGGCCCCCGCACCCCCCCGGAAGTGGCCGCCGGGACCCCACGCCCCGGTCACCAACCGGCACGACGGTCCACCCCGAGATTATGCGTGACATGATGGGGCAGCCTCGCGAACTGGTTAGGAACGCTCGGGCCCCTGTACTGTGCCACGGGCGGCCAGCGGGACAGCCGTTTTTACGGGTCTCCCTGGCCGGCGGGTCGATGCAGTCCTCCCGGCATCGGTTCCACGGATGCCTAGCCCTGGACCGAATCCGTCGCGACAACCTCCACTCGAGCCCTGGTTGTACGCTGGCTGACCCCGAAACGCGCGAGAAGCACTTCACGGGTTTTTCACCATGCGCACGGTGGTAACAAACCAGGCGGGTGTTAGGCACCCTACCACCAGCAGAGCGGATGGAAGCTCCGATATCCCTTAGTCGCCTCTTACGACACCCACGGGAAGAGAAGGGGCGGTGAGTTGTATTCTTTCTCCGTCACCGCACGGATCAACAATGATGTTCCATCGACATTAAAAAGCTATTGAATGTTTATAATGAAACAGATTCTTTTATTTGCAGCATTACCACTATATGACCCACGCCAAAATAATGTAGCACGACGCACTTTCGCATGTTGTTGCCTCGGTGTAAGTTAGCCTTAAAAGCTTAATAAAAAAAACTTTTTGATAAAAAGAAATCGGACACCATTTCCCAAACAATGCCAAACTATCATTATTGAGGTGTGATCAAAGCTATTGGATTAACATATTCTATTCTTTGACATAATACCGCGAGCCGTATTCATGATTCTCAGTCTATTATCATTAAGATACTTATAGGTAGGGTTACCAGATGATAAAATCAAAAGTCCGGAGAAAAGGCTTGATTTCAATTTTAAAAATCCTGAGATTTTTTACAGTTTGAGAATTTTCTCTCAAACGTACTTAACAATTTTAAAAAGTCGTAATATTTTAAGTAATAGTTAAAGTTTATACTCTGCTCATACTTTTGAATCAATATAATTTGAAGAGCTTAACATGTGGGGCATTATATGAATCCATAATTGAAGAAAAAACCTTACTTAAAAATACTTTTATAATAAAGTACTGATTTTAATTGTGCAATTATTACCAATAGAAGGTTAGTTTTAGTTTGTTTAACTTTTTATTAAAGAGACCTTTAAAACGTAATTTTATAGGAAATCCAATAAATCCTGAGATTTCATGAGATTTGCAAAATCCAGCCGCAATCCTGAGAAGAGTTCAAAAATCCTGAAATCTCAGGACAAATCCTGAGATATGGTAACCCTACTTATAGGATACTTGTTTGTGTAATGTTCCTGTTCTGTGTGTATATCTAATCATCAGGTGTTTGAACACCTTTAAATAAATAAAACTAGTTTTAACGGGTTAATGCACGAACTTTATTTATTTATTGACGTTTCGCAGCTTTTTCAGGTCTGCATCGTCAGAATAATGATTTTTTATTTACTTTGTCGAGCTACCTTAGAAAGACTGGTAGACCCATTAACCTTTCTACAACCAAAGGTAGAATTTCCAATCTAATATTTAAGTAAGTCTACAAGGTTGCGTCTGATAAATGTTAAATAAGCTAAAAATTTAACACTAGGATTTAAGAAAGAAAGAAAAGCATTTTATTAGCCTTCACAGCATTAATTTAGAAATACAAATGGTTATTTAATAGTGAAACATAGATTTAAGGATAAAAGATAAAAAATAAATAAAAACAAGCCAATACGGCGCTGCCTCAGCTATGCTGCTGTAACCGCTTTCGCGGTACCACAGCAGCGCTGATTTTATAAGGCAAAGCTGATTTAAGGTGTTTAAATCATGTATGTATAACAATAGAACTGGTGTACCATCTATCTTCTCGTCTGGACTTCAGCGCACTTAACATCAGGTGGAGTGAAAACATTTGTCGAACATAATTATCTATTTAAATAAAAAAAAAGATAGATAATTACTGAAAGTAACTTTGATTCCTTTCCATTCCTTCCTTACCAGTAGGATTATTATAGTATTTTGAGTGAAATTTATCATTTAGATAATATTAACCTTTACAAAACAATAAGATAATACAATATTGTGTCCTACTATACATGGCGTTAGCTAGAACGCTTATCATTAGCGACGACTGATGATAGTAATGTACTGATAAGGAAAGATTGCAATGGTGACACCAACAAGTATAAAAGAATATTAAAATTGCATAGTTTAATTTTTCTACTCACCGCAAAGAAGAGATTAGCGAAGAACAAGATGTATTTAACCAAAAATTCACCGCAGCCCATTATGATATCGTTTTATTCGCTCGTTCGATGTAAAAAAGAATAGTTTTAATAGGATTAACTAGTAGATATTGTTAGTGCGTTCGCAATGCGCGATATCCGACGTTAAACTGGCGAGTGGGCAGGTAACAACGACGTACTGCAGAGATAACAGAATAACGTACATAATGTTGGTGGATGATATTATAAATAATAAATATTATTCAACAAAATCGAATTACCTATAACTAAAAGAGTAGTTGACTCATTATGCTATGACATATTATTTTTTAATTTGCAAAGTACCAAAGAGAATATCCTCCTCCTTGTGTCGTGCTCCTCATTGATGAGGGTCGTGACCTCCACGAATTATTTTGTGGACGATCGCTTTCCACTTGTTGCGGTCTTCGGCAGTGTGGAGTGCATCGTTGACTCCAGTATTTGGTGTTGTTGCAGATCGACGTTTGAGGACGGAAAGGCGGCTCAGCCGTGGATAGCCTTTTTTTTTATTATTTAATGTCTAGAAAATGCATTACGCATACTTCGCCAACCGAGGGTTGCGGACGAAGCTATCGGGGGACTCCTCTCCGCCGCTTCAGGGAACACAAGTGCTCCGAGAAGCAAACGCGGCCCTACCTCGCCAAGAAGGCGACCGCCACAAGGGCGACCGTAAAAACTAGACAATACTCCTGCACCGGTCACCCGGCGCGCATTATGAGGGACCGCGGTCCCTCCTAGTGCGCACCGGGAGTGCGAGTGATGTGGCGGTATCCGTTTCCGAATAGTCCGCCCAAGACTGTGGATAGCCTAACGGCGACACCCATTTTTTTTAAGAATTGATGCATTTGTGCGGTCGGCTGTCCACTGAACTCGTAGCATTCTCCTCCAACACCACATCTCAAATGCGTCAATACGAGATCTGTCTGCCTTCTTGAGGGTCCATGTTTCCCTGTATGTTTCCACGTAGGTGAATATGGAGAGCACCAGAGTTCTCACCAGGCCAAAGAGAATGTAATTCTGTCAAAATCTATGATGTTCATTCAGAGAATGAGTACTGGGATTTCGAATGCCTGACATAGTTTTGTAACAAACAGTTTTCATTAGAGTCCGACCGAAACTGGAAACCGAAACCGAATATTCGGCCGTAGCTTCAGTTTCGACCGAAACCAAAACCGAAACCGAAACTCACGTGGTCAAGATTAAAATTCCTTAAAATACTGAAATTTGGTGCATTTTACCCATTATTCAGCATTAATTAGGACATGAAATGGAAACACAGTATATTAATTTGTTGTAGGTAATCATTTATTAAATATAATATAAGAAAATATTAATAATATTTTTATTATTTTTTCAAATTAAGTTCTCATAGCAAAATTTTTATCAGTAATCAATTCACAAATTGTTACTGTTTCATTAAATACCCATTGGTATTTTGAAATCTTATTAATTAATACCTTGGTTTGTAATTGTACTTAGAAGAATCATCAATCTCTTTTATCTCAATATAGGAAACTGCACTTCTCAATATAGGATAAGGACAGCTGTGCGAGAAACGAAGTAAGGCGAGCGTCCACGACAACTTCCGAAATCAATTTCGGTTTCGGCAAAAGTTTCGGCCAATTTTTGCCGAAACCGAAACTGCCGCCGAAACTTAATTTCTGGAAACTCGGCCGAAAGCGAAACCAAACTTTCGGTCGGATACTAGTTTTCATGCATAATCAAGATCATCGCTCGTTAGAAACGCACGGCACCCAGACAGCACCACCACGATTTTCGGCACCCGCTTATTGTAGGATGGGTGTTTTAGAATAACGATGCGCAATAACTATGCCAGGTTCGGATGCGCGCATCCGATGCCTGGATGCCGTTATTGGATGCCGATGCCATCTAGTTTTTGTCAACGTTACCATAGCAACAGTGCCACAAACTTATCTGTGCCGGTGGAGATGTCGCTAGCGGTGAACAAATATGTCATAAAAATGTCAAAATGCTATGGATAAATTGTAGTTCAAATTTTTGCCACCGGCACAGAAGAGTTTTTGGCACTGTTGCTATAGTAACGATGACAAAAACTGGATGGCATCGGCATCCATTAACGGCATCCAGTCGTATCGGATGCGCGCATCCAAACCTGGCATCCTGCCTGCGTTCAAAACCTAAGCTCTGAGTGAAATTTTTTATGTAATAATATTGCCAGCATTCAATCTTTTCAGATAACATACCGAAAAATTACATTTTCAAGTCCTGATTCAAGGAATCGAAGAGACAGACCCACACAAAACACGCATCTGTAGAAATTCATATTGCATCGTATCCTGTGATACAAGATATCGACATTCAGTTGACATCGATGCGATGCCGGCATCGATGCGGGCATCCGATGCCAATTATATGATACCGATGCGCATCGATTTCAAAAATATCTAAAAACGCCCATCTCTAGCTTATTGTCGACAAATAGTCCATGATCATCAAGAGAGATAAGGCAAAGCGGATTTTCATGACATGAGCGCCCGTCTGGGGAGGTAGCCGCTGCTTATAGAAGACTACTAAGCACACGACCTTCAGGTATTGTGTTTCTGTTAAGTAATAAGTAAGGTAAGGTTCCAGGGCTCCATGGGTTTGGGTCAGGGTAGGCAATGGTGTGAATGATAGCTTTGGTATCGCAAGAGTCTTTAAGAAAGAAAGAAGAAAGAAAAATGTTGTTATTGCTGACAACACATAAAAATACAAAAAATACATCTCTTATCTATTAGACAAGTCCGTCCGTCCGTCTGTGGTGCTGTTTCAGCGGCCAAACCGTAAGAGATAGATAAAGAGAATATTTAAGTTATAAGTTAAGAATAGTCTGATAAGACTACAAACCGGATTTGAGTAACGTAGCACTTCCGGTTTTCGAGAAATCACGAATTTCAAACGAAACCACACAAAATCTCCGAAGTTCTCAATTAATTAAATACATAAAACTAGTTTTTACGGGTTAATGCACGAAAACTTTATTTATTTATTGACATTTCGCAGCTTTTTTAGGTCTGCATCGACAGAAACCTAAGAAACAAATAATTAAATACATTTTTTTTTAATCAGGTTTTGGTGAACATTTGGTTCACTGGTTTGCTAGTTTAACATAAAGTAAAACAAAACGTACAAGTAAAGTTAACAACAACTAAAGACATTAAATGTGTATTTTATGTGTTGCCAACACTTCATATAGTTCAGCATACACAGCAGGTCAAGTTCCTGCTGCATTGGTATTCTGCTGTACCCAGAGCTAACTTAATCACATGAATTAAAAAAAACATAGATGTCATATATCTATGTTTTTTTTTACCCACGGAAAATACGTGTGCTTACCCCGTCCCCGAGGAGCTCGATGGCACTGGTGGGTGGCGCGTTCGACTGCGATCGTTGAAGTTAAGCAACTTTCGCAGTGGTCGGTCATTGGATGGGTGACCAAAAATCTTCTATCTCGAGTTCCTCCGTGCTTCGAAAGGCACGTTAAGCCGTTGGTCCCGGCTGCATCTGCAGTCGTTAGCACCCGCCAATTCACATTGAACCCGCGTAGTGAGTTTGGCCCAATCTCCTTATTCCATCCATAGGGAAAAAATTGTAATAATAAAACACACACACACACACACACGCACACACACACACACACACTCACACGCGCACACACACACACACACACACACAAACATAACAGATATATTGAACACTTTAGACTAAACCTACAAAATGTAAAAATCGTATATTTGTAACTAATCTTTATATATATAATTCTTCTGTGAGTGTGTATGTCACTGAACTTCTCTTAAACGACTGGACCGATTTTGATGAAATTTTTTATGTGTGTTCAAGGGGATCTGAGAATGGTTTAGATTCACAAAGACGTGTAGACAGGACAACGTCTGTCGGGTCCGCTAGTATGGTATAAATTTTGGAAAAGTTATGGAAGAGCGAGAGTTCCTGACACAGACAAATAAACTTGTCTACTAGGGACACGGAGCACCCCCACTAGAGTCCGCATACAAGGGCAAGCGCTTACGCCAAGCTTAAGTAGTATTTTACCTATGCGTGAGGCACGCCTACAGACGTCGCGATACATCGTTTCATTCGGTAACCGAGCGTTGGTCGAACTACTTCTCTCGTTTTCGTGTTAAAAAACTGTAAAAAATGCCGTACTGTGCAATTAAATTGTGTGGAAAGTCGAGTACAACTTCCAGTCTTCAAAAAAATGGTATTACTTTTCACTGGTTAGTTTAAATGCATTACAAAATGACAAAAATACTGTAATATTAAATTGCTGTTAATTGTATTTATTTTTTGGTGAACGCGTTGATGGCTACATCATATATGCTATCTCGCTCTCACACCGGCACGTGTATTGCTAGTGACTCAGACGCAGCTCATGTCTCAACACGTAAGTTTATCGATAAGTTTATCAGCTATGGAAATGGAAAAAATAAATAAAAACTATTTATTTCATCGTATACAATAATAGATGTCATAAGTATACAACCAACAGTTTTTATTTGACTTCAAACATATCCTAATAAAATTGAAAAAACGCGAAAATTTGTATGCATATTTGTTACTCTTTCACGCTAAAACGGTTAAAAGGATTTGTATGAAATTAAGTGCGCATAGTTTATGACCTAGATAAAGACATAGAATTAACGATATTAAATACCCTAGATACACCACGAGCGCTCAAAATGTGTCCCAATCAAGAAGTGCTTGAACTCCACTCAAGCACTTCTTAGTACACAGTCACACGCGGACCGTTGAAAAGTCAAGATGCCAAAGAGTTCCGTGAAAAAATGTAGAAAAATACTAATAGTACGTAAAGTGTCGTTTTTTCGACGGGTATCTAATTAATGTTTTTTAATTAACGCCTTTAAAGCAAATTTTATTGTTGTAATACTTACTATAAACTGATTTAATTTAAAATATTTGTGATATTCAAATGCATTGTCGGTTATACGTCGCCCTTAGCCATCTCTTTTCTTCACGGTCTGTACCTGCTATATTGCTAACAGCGCATTCAGAATTGCGCGTGAAAAGTCAAAAAAAATAAGGGTATAAAAAAAATAACAATAAATCGTAAAATTTTACGAACT